CAGAAAAGCTTACTTGAGCCTTCGGCTAAAAAGCAAACATGCTTAGGTTCTGTAGATTCAAGTTTGTTCAAATCTTGACCCCTGGGGTTGATCCGCATAAGGGGGATGAAATTTTACCTAGGACTATTTAGGTAAAAACTTTTCAAGAATAGCAAAGCCATCATTAGAAATGGAGGCATTCTCAGGTAGTGAAGGTTCGTTTGTTCATATCACGACCCACTTAGGATAATACTGAAATTACGTAACAAAAACATTTGTTCAATCGATAATGCACAATGAAATCAATATTTAAGATGTATTTCTAAAGCTTCTTGGTTTGGTTTTGGTTATATTTAAAATCTTGCTGGATTTAGGAGGTCGTAGATAAGAAGTTTATAGTTTTATTCTCACATTTGCAATTTACAGAGTAGAAAACTGGCCTGGTGAGTATATATTGAGAGAACTTTTTCATTATATTAAAATCCCTTCCTTTCTTTTGTAGGTAACACGAAAGAGAAATAAAAGTCCCTTTTATTATATGATTGTGACTCGTTGCTTTTATTGTTAAAGCAATATGAGCTGCATTTTTGAAAATTTTATTTACCTATTAAAATGTGTTATTATGATAAATATTTATGTAATTGAAACCTCTATGGTCAATTAGACTAAAATTAAGTACTAAACTGTTTCAGAAGAAAGACTTTTGTACAATCAAATATATAGGATTATTTAAGAAATCAATATTGTACAGGACGACAATAAATTTAATGCAATTTTGCTTTAAACAAAGCTTATAACTACATGTACATGAATTAAATATACCTTTAGTATTTGAAAGTATTATAATATGAATTTTTAAAAAATAAACTTTAGCACATAAAACTTTTTTTTTCAAATGAAATTTCGATATTAATTTTAATATGCTAAATGGTAAACTTAAAGTGGAGATGTTATTGACAAAGTTCAGAGCAGTACTGTGTGAAGTAATTAAATTTAGAAAGTAATGTTTCTAATCATTAGTCACTTATATTTTCCTTTTTTATTAGTTAAGAATTTACAAGCTTTTTTTAGCATGTTTCATGGTGACAAAATCTTATTGAGGTTAGGAGAAACCTAAATATTTTTTCTTAGTGAAATGTAGTTAACACAACCCTCTTTTCATTTTATTAATAGATGGGAACCTGGGGAGGAATGAATTTTAGAAGTCTAATCTTGTTTTTACAGGATTTTTTTAAACAACACATATACACTAACATCTAAAACAATCTTTATTTCAATATTTGAATTTATAGTATGATAACATAATAATTTTTTTAATGGGTAGGGGTATTTTCAAAATGTAAAATATAAATCAAAATAAAATTTAAAAAAACTTTTTACTACTAATTTCAAATAAATAAATCCAGATCTAACGGTCCTTATGTCTTATCCTAAAAGACCCTACATAAGAGGTACAATGTAGATTAGATTTAAAAAATGCAATTTCGGTACAATTCAGGTGTACAAAAGAATCGACAAAAATTTGTACATTTCAGCTGTTAACTTTTTACTGATTTTTTTTTTTAGAATGAGGAGTCACTGGACCTTCCAAGAATGACAGAAAAGAGGAAAAAGGATAAAAAGATGCAGAAATAAGACTTGTTTCCATGAATGTTATTTATATTCTCTCAAGAAATTTTTTGCCTACATCCAATATACTTAAGAAATAAAGTCTGTGTTTTTGTGAATGTTGCAGAATAACCTCTGAGGTCGAGAAATGTTGTTTGAAAGATTAAAGTTAGATGAGACTTATATTTCAAACAACATTTCGAGACTGAGGAGGTTATTCTGCATCATTCACGACAACAAGGACGTCATTTCTATTCTGCTATCGGTTCTAAAATACGACTGATCGTTTCTCCAAAGAGAAACGTATCGTATTAGGTCACCTTTTTGCGATTATGCTGTTCTATTTAGCACCAGAATGTAAATTTGTTTGTTTACCTGTGCATGGAATGCAAACGATTTGAGCATTCGCCACATTAAAATGTTTATAACATGTATTGATTAATTTTTATGAATGTACAATAACAAAATCAATTTTCTATTTTACTGCTTTACCACTAAAATCGCCGAGTTTAAAAATGACGTAGGAGGTTTTGTGGAACAGCCCCGTTTAGCTATAAAAACCGACATTCATCAGCTACTTTATGAAATATACACGTGTTTAGACTGCGAAAGACGACACATCGATGTGGTCTAATAAGTATTTCAATCTAAGTCAAATATATATTTCAACTGCACAGGTTTGATACGTGTTTCTAATCTGAAAATGTTTTGATGACGTTTGTGATTTATTGGAGAATAATGTCCGCGGCATTCCTTTAATCTCGGCAATAACCGTAGTAGAATATGCTGTATTCATAAATCAACTTGTATCAGTTATTCATATAAGTAGAATTTATATGTACTATCACAGAACTGTGTCCATTGTATGTTTTTGGTGCCTTGAACATGAGGTAAAATATATTTTTCTTAGTTAAAACCCATTAAAAATCAAAATTGTGCTGTTTCAATTATAATGTCAATAGCCACTTGACAATTTAAGCTTTATAATAAATCATTTTTTTTAAATACTCTTTTAAAACCGACAATGGAACGACATCATTCCCTACCGCCTAGAAAGGACACAAAGAGTTCCCGAAGGAATTAAACAATTTCAGCCGGAGATTATATTTTCCTTAAAGAGTCCCACCCCCATACCCCTTTCAAAGAATGGCAGATAATAAATCCCGTGTTGGAAGAAACAACATTGCTCATTACTTTGCTTAAAATTCTGACGAGATACATACATGAAATTTACGCAACATAGAACTTAGATATGCATCAGTGACCATGAATTAAAGAAATTATTTATTGTATGCATTTGTTCTTTAAAATTTAAAAAGTGTTAGGTGAACACTTAGAAGTTTGTTTCAGTGTAGAATAGTTGCGGATAGGTCCGCCGAAACATGGCTGAAAAATTGCCGACTCGGCGTTAAACGATATTCAATCAATCAATCATAGTTGCGGATAAAAGATGGGAACCATTCAATATTATAGAAAGAATGGTAGTAAAATCAAAATTTTTTGCTGATCAAAAAATAAAATATGAGGTTACAATGGCAGTATGTAAAAAGAATCTGTGAAAAAGCGTAACAGATAGACGAACGAACGGACATCCCGATTACAGTACCCTCCCGCTTTTCAAGTGTGTGGGATTATAAGTAGGTGACCAAATGCTATTATTGAACGGGCACAACAGTAAGTAAGCATTGGCGTTTTTATTGGGGGTTGTCGGTTCCTACTTTATATGTTTTATATGCTGTATAGTGATCGTGTTGTCAGTATCTGTTACGCTTTTGTGTGCCTATCTTTTATTCGCATCACCTCTTTTACGTCTGAATGAAATCGAATGAGACTTTCAAAGAATCTTTGTTATATATTGCCATTGTGCAGCTACTTTTTACTCTTTAATCGGACACATATTTTGGGTTTTCCAGTTTTCTATAATAATGAGGGGAACTTATCACTTATCCGCAATACCTCCTAAACCACTGAAAAAAAATCATGATACTTTCGAAGATTCTTTATTATACCCCCGCTTGGAAAGCGGGAGGGAATATAGTAATCAGGATGTCCGTCCGTTCATCTGTTTCCCATAGCAAAACATAGAAACTGCCAATTTATTCATATGGAAGGCGGGGGTATCATTTAGTGAGCTCATTGCTCACAGTACCTCTAGTTATATAATGCCACTGTTCAACTCCTATTTTACTTTTTGATCCGACACATATTTTGGGTTTCCCATAGCAAAACACTGGACACTGCCTTATATCTAAATGGGAGGCGGGGGTATCATTTAGTGAGATCATTGCTCACAGTACCTTTAGTTACATAATGCCATTGTGCACCTTCTATTTTACTTTTCGATCTGACACTTATTTCGGGTCTCCCACAGAAAAACATAGACTTTGCCATTATAACCATATGTGAGGCCGGGGTATCATTTATATCTAGTTATATCCCAGTTGAACAGTGGGAGGGTATATAATGGTCGGGATATCCGTCTGTCTGTCTGTCTGACTGTCCGTACGTCTTTTACGCTTTGGGCACTAGTATACCCATATCTTATCCGCAAAGCCTCCTATACAAATGAATCAGTTTTGATGAGACTTTCAACAATTTTTGTTACAAAATGCCATTGTGCACCTTCTACTAGTAATTTACTTTTTGATCGGACAAATATTTCGGGTTTCCCATACCAAACATGGAGTCTGCCATTCTATAATATTGAAGGGTATTCATCTCATCTGCAACTCCTCCATAACAAAGAATAAAATTTAGTGATACTTTCACAGATTCTTTATGACATAATGCTTTTACTTTTTGATCTGATACTTTATTTCGTGTCTCCTAGAAGAGAACATAGACTTTGTCCTTATAACTGTATGGGTGGTGGGGGTTCATTTAGTGAGCCTAGTGCTCACAGTAACTGTAGTTTTGATTTAACATAATGCCCGGCAGTTTATCAAATAATTGATCAGCTAAAGGCTGAGAGAAAGTCATCCGCAATCAAATATCCTCGGTTTGGTGAGTTTTTGGAACAACTAATAAATATTAATGTTTTCCAAAACATATTCATACATTATTAAATCTTTTTAATTACATTCAGGAGCGGAGAACTTCTACACGTAGGTGTTTATTCAGTATTATATAAAATCCATTCTGAAAACGTACGTTCCTCATTGTCTCCGAGGACTGTAATTTGCGGAAAGAAATTCAATATATCACATTGCACCTAATATGAAATTTTCGGTTTGGTGAGTTTTTGGAACAACTAATAAATATTAATGTTTTCCAAAACATATTCATACATTATTAAATCTTTTTAATTACATTCAGGAGCGGAGAACTTCTACACGTAGGTGTTTATTCAGTATTATATAAAATCCATTCTGAAAACGTACGTTCCTCATTGTCTCCGAGGACTGTAATTTGCGGAAAGAAATTCAATATATCACATTGCACCTAATATGAAATTTTGGACAATTTTTTTATGGATATCACTAATATTCGGTAAGAATTTTGTTACTATTAATATTAGTAAAATTCTTTTTCTACAACACATTTGGGGGTGCAGTGGGTGGGTGTTTCGTGTTTAATTTTTTTTATACGCCAGCTTGAAAAGTTTAGCTCTCGGTACGTCCGTCCGTCTTTTTCGCTTTGAAGAACCCATCTCTCATTCGCAATTCCTCTTTTGTTGGTGAATGAATTTTAATGAGAGTTTCACAGTCTTTGTCACATAGTATCATTGTGCACCTTCTATTTTACTTTTTGACTGGACACATATTTCAAGATTCACATAGCAAACATGGACTTTGCCATTCTTTCTGTAACACTGAAGGGTATCAATCTCTTATCTGGAGGTTTAAAAATGGTCGATGTAGATAATTTTATTATTGCTTTAAAATCTTCTTGGATGAAAAGGTTAACTCAAAAACAAAAGCCATGGATGGATTTTTTTTTGCAGTGAATGGAAAAGATGTTATTGAGAAGCTATTTCATTTTGGGGATCTATTTATTTTAGAGCATTTACTTCCTAAAAACAATGCTTTCTGGCAAGATGTATTAAAATCATGGCTGGAAGTCATGAAGTGTTTAAATAATTGTAAAAGTGTAAAAACTAATTTTTTAAATATCCCGGTGTGGTACAATTCTAATATAATGGTTGGCAAACAGTCTGTATTTATCAAAAATTGGTATGAGAAAGGTATTAGAGTAATTGGAGATTTTTTAGATAGCGAAGGAAAATTTTTATGCTTTGATTCTTTACAAAAAAAATTTTGCCTCTCACAAACAGATACAAATAAGCAGATTATGCAATATAATAGTGTTCTTACTGCAGTATCAAAATATTTGAAAAGTATGTCTATTGACAAATCTTTATCCACAAAATCTTTCAATACACTTATGCCATTTTATTATGAATTGTTGTTACAGTTAGAAAAATGCACTAAGCCAATATACTCCATTTTAAACACAAATAGTGTTAAACCTATATTTACATCAAAATGGAATTCCATTTTGAGTATTTATGGGCAGTGTAATTTTGAAATACATGATGTTTTTAAAGTTTGTTTTAAAGTAACAAGTGATACAGCTGTTCAATGGCTGCAGTTTAGAATACTGCATAGGATTCTTCCTGTAGGTTATTATCTTAAAAAGATTAATATTAAAACCACTGATTTTTGTACTTTTTGTAAGAATGAAAGTGAAACAATCCAACATGTACTTTTATTTTGTAATAATATTTTGTCATTGTGGAGTAGTCTAAGCCAACATATATATAGAACTACTTCAAAAAGGGTTGGATTTAACATTAATAATGTTATATTAGGAGAGATTCCATTGACAAAAAATAATAGAGTTGTAAATTTTATTATACTATACACTAAACAATATATATTTACTTGTTTGATGCAGAAGAAAATGCCAAATATCAGCGCACTCTTATGTCATCTAAGAATCAAATATAATGTTGAAAAATTTGTTTCAATCCAAAAGAACAAAATTGTGTATTTTAATTCCTTATGGTCTACATGGAAACCAGTTTTTGATGAGTGACAGTTCAAATGTCATTTACTATTGTTATTGTCTTTCTCTTTTTTCTTTCTTTTTTTATCTCTTTTTTATCCTCATATTGATAAAAGAATATATATGTATTTAATAATTTGGATAATATATGCACAATGTTATAAGGCGTTGGAGGAAATAGTGACAAATTGAAATTACATGTATTTTCTTTTTTTTCTCTCTCTCTCTTTTAATATTATTTATAGAAGGATAGTGGATAGTGTGAAAGGGTGAGTATGTGTGTGTGTGGCATAAATGTAAATATGTTTCAGTTATCTCTTTGTTTATTATGAGAAAAAATATAAATAAAAAAAAAAATTCTTTCTGTAACACTGAAGGGTATCAATCTCTTATCTGTAACTCTTATACCACTGAATAAAATTTTTGCTTTCTCACATTCTTTATTTCATAATGCCATTTTGCATTTTTTATTTTAAATTTTGATTTGACACTTTTTTTTCGGTTTCCCAGTGCACAACATTGCATTATATAATTCATATGAGAGGCAGGTGAGGGAGATGGGGACTTAAGTATTTATACTACATCTAGTAATAACACTTTGTAAGGTGAGGGTTTTGCTACATACTGCCATTGTGACCTCCTATTTTACTTCTTGATCGGACACGTATTTCGGGTTTCCCATAGCAAAACATTGACACTGCCATTTCTTCTATATTATTAAAGGGTACCTCTATATCTCTAATCCGATACTCCTCCTATGCCACTAAATAACATTTCACGATCAATTCACATATTCTTAATACATTGTGACCTCACATTTTATTTTCTGATCAGACACTTTTTATGGTTTTTTCTGCCATTATATAAACAGGTCCAGTCCAAAGACTATTTCTACCTACGTAGCTATCAATAGCTACATAGGTATTTAAAACTTACCCAAAGTAGCTATTTCTACCTACTTTCTGCTTTACTTGCATTTTGTGTCCAAATGCAGGAACGGCGCAACATGGTGAGCACAAAATTTCTTGATATAGTCACACTGATGATGGATATGACAGAAATTTGGCCAAAAAATGATTACTTCGTATATTATCAATTTTGCATAGAAACTAATGTAAAATTGCCGATTCAGGAAGTAATCATTTTTTGGCCAAAATTTTGTCGTATTCATCATTAGTGTGACTGTATCAAAAGATGTGGTATTCACCAAGTTGCGCCGTTTGGTCTTTGTGCCGCAAAATGCAGAAGTTATAGAAAGTAGGTAAAAATAGCTACTTTGGGTAGCTTTTAATACCTAGGTAGCTATTAATAGCTACGTAGGTAGAAATAGTCTTTGGATTGGACCTGATAAAATAATACAAGAGGCGGGGGAGTGGGGTTATAAATCTCAATGCACATTGTACCTCTGTTTTTTTTCATTTTGAAGGAACTATGCAAACCAACCTCAAAAGTACTTATTTTGAAATGAACACACACTACAAAGATTTATTACCAATATCTGAGCTGAGGTCTATGGGAAGTCAACGGACCCTTGGCGCATGTGGACTCCTGTGCGCCTTAGACGAGTTTTGTCAAACTTTTTTCTTCAAAACACAGGAAAAGAAATGTTTCCTTTACAAGTATTCCATCTGGCAGCATACTGAACTTAAACAAGAAATCGGTGTTAACATGTACGAAATAACCTGTAAGTTTCCTTCAAGAAAAAATACCAATGATATACTAAAATTCATTAATTAGATATTTTGATATTAGAAGAAAACAATCTTTTTCTGGCACATAACATTTTACTGGATTGTCAAAAAGAGGAATATATTACTAAAATTCTTTCGTTCATAATAATGTTCGGGAATTCTTACAAACCAATTTAATGAAATTTTATTACATCTTTCAGCACCATGTACTGGTTTGGGTTTCGTGCACAATCGGGCAAGTGGTCTCTGTTTCCAGATTTTTGGGGGTCAAAATTGGACGTCTACTTGGGCAATAACGTCGTGTAAACAGTTTGGTGGATCATTGATTTCTTTAGATACAGATCAGAAAATAGGATTTGTGGATACTTTTATCCGAAATCGTTGTGAGTAAAGATTTATTTTTTTTTAAGTATGTAGCTCGAAGGTAAATCAGAAACTTGCTCTACAAGACCTTTAACTAAATACATGTAGGTTTCCACCGAAGGTTGAAATCTTAAATTTTAAACGTTACGTGACCAGCAATTTTAATGAAATATGTTGAATTTAGAACTGTTTGTTTTGTAATGCTCGAGTTAAATACTGTGCAATTTTGTTCAATCTCATTTTATATATTGAAAAATGATTATGGGTCGATCTTCCAAAGAGGGTTGATTATGGGTCGATCTTCCAAAGAGGGTTCAATATGTTTTTGTATAAAAACATTTAAATATATATGATTGAATACTCAGTAATTCCTAGACCTCATATATTGACTGAGATCCAACATTGTAGAAAGTAAACTTCCGTGCCTTTTGTTCACTTGGGTGACTACTTTGGACTTGAAATATATTGAAAAATTACAATTCGATATTAATAATTGATATTAATAGGTTCTGGAATGTTATTTCATTGCACTTCCATTCCGGTCATTTGACATTCAGGTACATAGAATTTGAGGAGAGGCCGTGAGAGAAATCTGCCGACCACACCACACCACACCCCCTCTTTTCTGGATGTAAATATTCACTATTTATTTGATATGACAATGTTTAGCTGGTTTTCCTTGGACACCCCTCCCTCATTAAGGTTTGAGTGGTAGATTTACCTTTTTTTTGGGGGGGGGGGGCTAGTCAAGAATTTTTTTCAGGTAAGTTGTCAATTTTCCACTATTATGCCCATTCCCCTTTTTAGGTCACCTGAGTAAACTCAGGTGACCTATTGCTATCCGTTTTTGTCCGTCGTCGTCCGTCGTCCGTCGTGCGTCGTGCGTCGTGCGTTAACATTTGAACATTTTCAGCTTCTTCTCTGAAACCACTGAACCAATTTCAACCAAATTTGGCATACAGCATCTATGGGTAAAGGGGAACAAAAATTGTGAATTTCATGGTCCCTGCCCCCCTGGGGCCTGGGGGAGGGGCAAAAACCACTAAAATTAATGCAATCTTTAAAAATCTTCTTCTTGACTCCTGGACATCAGGATGTTGAACCGATAGCATGATTGTAATAAGTATTAACCTCTCTACCAAAATTGTAAAATTCATGACCCCTGGGCTTAGGGGTCAATCTGGAGGGTGGGGCCAAGTTGGTTGTATGTTGAAATGCATAATATCTTGAAAGATCTTCTGATGAACTTCATGACACCAAATTACATGCAAGAAAAGTTTTTGTCAACTTGATGTTTTAAACAATTTATCAAATTCATGTACATGAGAAAAGAGAACTTTTTATTTTTTTTTTTTTTTTAAGTATTTATATTGCAAAAAAAATTATTTTAGATCTATCCGGGAATATAGTTGCCTATTGTACAGGCTTCAATATTTACGCAATATTTACGCATGCGCACAATCGACTGTATGTAAGACGCCATTTTGGACTAGAGTGGAAACCCAGAGGCAGAGAATCTATCTTTTATTTTAGCTCTAAGGTTTTACTTAACGAACGGTGGGTATGAATGTTGACATTTATGAGTTTAAACGGCATGGAATATATAGGACGTGTGTTTGCGAATACATCGTGTTTTTGTAATCTGAGCTAGTATATGCGTGTTTACGTCTCCCGCGTTGTACCAGAGGCGACATCGTGCGATGAAAGTTTGTTCGAGTGTTTTAAACGTCGTCGCCTGCGAGCTGCATTATATATTTACTAATAAAATTGATTTATTGAGTGTTTAGTATGCTGTTTTTCATATGTTTGGAAAATATACTTCAAACATGAAATATGATGAAATGTTTATTTTGTAGTAACTTAGACAGTGACAGTCACTGTACATTGTAGATCTACATAACTTCCTTGTTTATAGTTAAAAAAAAACACGAAGCGTCATGATTTCAAAATGGACACAATGAATATTAACTTTAAATTACATCAGTTTTATACAGGTATATATATAAATCACTAGATTTAGCTACGTACAGTACTGGCCATAAGCAAGTCATAATATTATTTTTACACTATATTTCATTGAAAAACCTATTTTTATATAAAAAAAAAAATGTTGAGAAGTCAATTTTAGCTCAATTTTCATGATTTTTTCACCGAAACATGCAGAATTATTCAAATTTTCTTATCTTAAATGAAAAACAAAATGATACTTAGACTATTGAGAATAAATTATAAAATATTGTCAAGACAAAATTTTCTAACCTCAAATTACTATGATTTCTTAACAAATTGAAGCCTTAAAATTTTTGTTTTGCACTTGACCTGTGATTTCATGGTAATGCATAATGATAAAACTATTTTGAAATGATGTGAAGAAACTACAACAAATTCTGCATTTTTTGGTGTTTTAGACATTAAAAAGAAACAACAAACGAAACTGCAATAATATTTTAGAAAAATGTGTTTTTCAATGAAATATATAGTGTAAAAATAAAATTATGACTCACTTATGGCCAAGTACTGTAGCTTGATTTACTTACTTAGCTTTATTTACATACCCGAAGAAGCTTTATTAAATCAATTATATGTTTTACGGTGTGACCGTTTAGGCGAGCACAGTAGTACCATCAAAAACACTTGAAAAATTGATCAGCTTTATAAAGCTGTGATACTGGTTTAGTGGTTTTTCTATGTAAGCAGTCCAACATCTCATCTACCGGTCCAACATTGATTTTTTTTATGCCTGCTCAGCAAAACATTAGATATGTTGGACTTGTTTTCGTAAAATTTGTATAGGAACAATTTTTTATTATTATTATTATTTATTTATTATTATTATGCGAAGTTTTGATTTTTAGCTCTTTTAGTCAGAGACCAGTAGAGCTTATGCGTTAGTAATGTGTCTGTAAACAATTTTTCAAAATGCTACTCCTCTTACAGTTTTGGTTGGATTTCAGTATCACTTGGCACACAAGTAGACTATAAAATATACATAATTCTGTGCATCGGTTTTTGATTTCGATGATTAATGTTGCCGGGGTTACTACAAATAGAAATTTCTGTGAAATCCTTTTAAAATGATACTCCACCTACAGTTTTGATCTGATTTTAATTTAAATTGGCACATATGTAGACTATACTAAGAAATGTAATTCTGGGCATCAGTTTTTGATTTTGCAGAACAGTGTTGGCATGGTTTCTAAATATAGAAATTTTTGTGAAATTCATTTAAAATGCTACTCCTCCTACAGATTTGGTCTGATTTTAATATTACTTGGCACACAAGTAGACAGTAGACTACAGTAAGATACACAATTCTATTCATTGCTGCCTGTTGCAGATTTTCAAATCCAAGTGCTACTTTCCTTTGTTACATGTACAGACCAGTAGAGCTTCAGTCTCATCAGAGACTTCTGGTTTTAAGTTAGGGTTGAATTGAATGGGAACTGCTATTGCTAGGGTATTTGGAACTCTTTGGGTTATTAGTAACTGGTGAAATGAGTACCAATGTTAACTTGTGTATTAATTTTTTTTTTTTGGGGGGGGGGGGCTGAACTTTTATGAAAGAATATTTAATTCCGCAGATCATTGAACTACCTTGACAAAAAAGATTATTATATTTATGCCCCCCTTCGAAGAAGGGAGGGCATATTGCTTTGCTGCTGTCCATGGGTCTGGTCTGTTGGTCAATTTAGTTTCCGTTCATTTTCTTCACAACTGTTGCACATAATGAAATGAAATTTGGTATACAGGTTTATCAGGTAAATATCTAGGTTATATTCTGTTTTGGATATGATTGCACCATTTTTGACAGAGTTGTGCAGCTTATGCCCCTTGGACTTAGAAAAATTCCACTTATTTGCAGTTTCCGTTTATTTTCTTTGCAGAGGTTGCGCATATAGAAATGAAATTTAGTACCGAGTATACAGATTTTTCAGCTGAATATCTAGATCAAGTTCTGTTTTTGATAGGATCGCCCCATTTTAGACAGAGTTATGCTCTTTTGGACTTGGAAAAAATCCAATTTGGGGGGAGGGACGCATAAGTGTTTTACAAACATCTCTTTTTTTATGGTATGCATGTGTTTTGCAGAATTTTGGTAATGCCACGCAAGAAGAATTGGAGGGTGTCATTGGCGAAGATGGGGAACAAGAGCCATGCCAGCAGTGACAATAGACTCGTGGATACTAGCCACGTAAAAAATAGTACGAAGGACCCAACGATTAACGAAACAGTTGACGGACCTTTGAGACTCGTGGAAGCTAGCCACGTAAAAAATAGTGCTAAAGACCGGGGGGATACTGCCTCCTTAAAAAGAGTACTTGATTTGCCTTCGGGCGCTAGAAACATTGCAGATTTGCCTTCGGGCGCTAGAAACATTGTAGATTTGCCTTCGGGCGCTATGAACATTGCAGATTTGCCTTCGGGCGCTATGAACAATGCCAATTTGCATTCGGGCGCTATGAACACTACCAATTTGCCTTCAGGCACTATGAACACTGCCAATTTGCCTTCGGGCACTATGAATTCTGTACATTTACTTGGAACAAAATTATTTGGAACAATTAATCAAGCTAGCCATTTATTTCCATCTTTTTTTCTAGAGGTGTTCAGTGTACATGCAATGCTTTGATGTCCATCATTTTGCAAAATGCATCTACTTCTGCAGAACTTGATGAAGTGCTGTTAGCTGGAGATGAATTGTATAGAGTAAGAGTTGCAGAATTACAGTCAACTGTTCAGTTTGTATCGAAAATGCTACAATTTCAAGAACTTCCAAAGTCTGTTTTTGTGCATGGTAATGAGTATGAAATTTGCTATTTTGAAGAAATCTATGGAACAGTGATTCATATGGATTGGAATCACTCAAGTCAAAGTAAAAATTTGAAGGAAGGCATTGAGCAGCTCTTTGCAAGATACAATCAAGGTTTAATTATAGTTGGAGGAATTTGTTCTGCAATATATGTTGATGATAAGAACTGTCCTGTCTTTTTTGATTCACATTCTCATGGACAAGATGGTC